TTTTCCCTGAATATCAGTTAAAGGTTTGTATACTGCATTCTTGGATTCTGATATGCAGAGCAAAATTCCTGAGTTGTGGAAAGCAATATGGAATTGGATGGGACCTCAGAGAATTAGATTATTTTTATGGAAGGTGGGACATGATAAATTTCCAACTAAGAGCATATTAAATAAAATTAATCTGGGTGATGCAATTTGGCCAGTTTGCAATCAAGAAGTGGAAAGCACTTTACATTTGTTAAGAGACTGCTCTTTAATCAGAAATGTCTGGTTAAAGTTGTCTTGTGAATTGGGTAATAATAGGATTTGTGATAGATCTATTCCAACAAACATGATTAGATGGGAGCCTCCTGAGCATGGTTGGATCAAAATAAATACTGATGGGGCTTCCAGAGGTAACCCGGGTAGAGCTGCTTGTGGTGGTCTGATTCGTGATCCAGATGGTAAGTGGTTGGAAGCTTTCTCTTACAAGGTGGGTTATTGCAATGCAATTACTGCTGAATTATAGGGTATTCTGAAACGGCTGGAGAAAGCTTGGGTAGGTGGATGGAGGAAGATTATTATTGAAAGTGATTTAGCTTATGCTATCACTTTGCTCACCAAACCAAGTGATGCATCTTGTGAGTCTCATTTAGTGACTCGTATATGGGAATGGCTTTTAAAAGATTGGTCGGTTCAATTGTTACATACTTACTTGGAAGGTAATATTTGTGCGGACTGGTTAGCTAATCTTCCGCTGGAGAATTCGGATCAAAAAGATTTTGCTTTATTTCAGTTTCCCCCTCCGGAGATTAAATGGTTGTATTTTTTGATTTTAGCTCTGTTCACACGGTTAGACACTCCCTGATGTAGTTTTTGTTTTTTGTGTTTGTTTTGGGGCGGAGGAACTCTTCGAGAATCCTTGCTTACTGAGATTTCTGTTTAGAGATCTCACCCCGTGTGGGGCACATTTTCAGGTACAGATGTCCATGAGATGGATGTTTCCCGAGGCAAGAGGCCGGACTAGAGTTTATTTAAGATGCATGTTTTAGTCAGATTATTATGGATATGATTATTGTACCGTGACATGGTTATTGTACCAGAGATATGACTACTATGACGTTATGCTTTTACCAGCCTATGGATGTTTTATTTGTTTGCGAGCATGGGGGTTGTCCATGCCTTTGATTTATTTGTGTTATTGTTGAACATGTATGTTTTGTATACGCCATGAGATATGGACGTTGGTCATGACTACGTAATGTAGCTTCATGACTTAGTATTTATCTATGATATTGAGGCATTTCAGGATTTTATTTGTGGTTTTGCAATTACATGAGGATATAGATGGATTTCATACTGCTATGTTAATAAGGGAAAAAGTAATCTGGCATGTCTAATAACTGATTTTATTTTAACTTCCGCATTTAATTGAGCTGCGCTTAATACCGTAATATGATAACAAATCTAGATGCATACGTGGTGTTACAATAATAGTTGAAGAAATTTATTGGTTATTTACTTTCAAATATGTAGGATACTAAGAATAGTTATTCAATACTAGTATTAAGATAATTTTCCATAGCTCCTTTTGGTTTTCCACAGAGTTGCTTTCGTGAATGGTGCTCTTATGACTCCTTGTGAAAAAATCTTCATTCAATGGCACTCTTTAACAACGAAACTCAACAAAGATAATAAAATAAAATTCTAATTTATTTTAAAATTTTGTTTACATTTTCACTTGTATATTTGTGTACAAATATTGTTTTATTAAAAATATTAAAATATGAAAAATTTCTATTTTGTATAGAATATATTATGAAAGTATTAAATATTTATTTGTTAAAATAATTTTGGATGTATTAAATATGATAAAAAAATAAAATAAAAATAAAATTTAAATTTTGAATGACCCGCAGTTTGGCCTCAACCCATATCACTTTTAACCCGTTCGGACCTTTATTATTGTGGGCCATTTGGCCCTGCAAATTTTTTGACTCCAACCCACGCTGCTAGGACTTAATAGAACGAGCTGACTCATTTTGACAGCTCTATCCACAGTGATACCACTTCATGAGTGGTAGGGGTGTTCATCAACCGATCCAAACTGATTCAAACCGCGGTGACCGAACCCAAAAAACCGATAACCGAATAAATCGAAAATTGAAAAATTAAAAACCGAAAAAAACCGCAAATTTTAATTGGATTGGATCGGTTTTCAGATTGGTAGATGAACCGATCCAATCCAAACCAATCCAATTAATTTCTCTCTACCTAGTTGGGTCTTTCCCCAATCATATCCCAAAAATTTCTAAACCCAAGACTCATTAACTCATCCATTAAACTCAAGAAAAATTCTAGTCATATCTCATTTATAAAATTTCATCTATGTAGAGCTCCATATCTCATTGTCCAAAAGAAAAAACTATATTAGCGTTTACTGATGCTTTTGTATTTAAAAAAATATTAAAATTACAAAATCAATATATACAAAAGATATTATTTGCACAATAATCATAAAATAAATTTTAAAATTTTCAAAAAATCAAAAACTCATCCAATCCAAACCGAAAAAAATTGGATTGGATCAGATCAGATTTGAAAAAAAATTCAAACCGAATGAAGAATTATATGATAAAATCGAAGGAATTGGATCAGATAATTTTAACTTACAAAATCAATCCAATCTAGACCGCAAACACTACTCCTAATGAGTGGTCCACTGATCAGGCCTATCTTGCTTTATACTCCAACTTGAATGCTCGCTTGGCTCTAGATATACGGAATGAGAAAAATCTTCTACACTCAAAGTGCCATGGATCTTATTGCCCTCTATCACAATTGTCAAATCGTGTATCATGGCTCATAATAATTTTTTAATTTTTGTGCAACGTAGCATGAGTAACGTGTACGGTAAAATACATGCATATAAAAATATAACAATGGATAAGTCAAAGGAAATATGATTTAAAAAAGACAAATATATAAATCTCATTCCAAATCTAAATATACTGATCTGACTCTGGGAAATTTGACATACAGCTCTTTTTCTACCTTTGTCCTCTGCCATACTCATAAACAGAAAATAAAAGAATTGTTATTTTATTATAATGATTTGATCCATGGCAATAAGCAAATAAAAAAATTTCTGTTTTATTGTACTGATCGACTGGATTAATTATCTTAAAGTTCAGGACTCAGGAGGGGTTGGGTAAGATTTTAAAGTATAAGATATTATGTTAATCACATTGTCTAAAGCTTTTGAGGTTGGAGAAACTTCAAAATTATTTAATTTAATCAACTTATACCGCAAAGGTTTCCTGTTAACACTTGAATTTGAAAGTTAATTGAACATCTCATGACGGTGGGTAACAAAAAACACAAATTTGTATTCTTCATCAAATGATAAAAAGAAATAATACCTTTTTGTTCTTTTGGTTCTCGCTCTCGGATTTGATGCGTGTTTAGCAATAAATTATTTAGGGAAACTATTTCTTAGGTATTTTAAAACATTTAATTAAATTTATTTTCGTCCTAAAATAAGTTAATAAAAAATAATTAAATTAATTTGAGTCCTAATATAAATAATACTTATTCACAAAACTGTGTACGAATTTTAATACGGAAGGAGTATAAAATTGTAAATTTCAATCTACCAATTTTAAAATAATGTGTGTTTATACATATTAGTTATAAGATAAAGTGAATAATACTTAATATAGTTATTTATCAGTGTTGAACATATAGGGTGGATAGTGTAATACCTTTGGGACGAAAATAAATTTAATTAAATTTTTTAAAATACCTAAAAAATAGTTTCCCTAAATTTTTTCAAAACCTTTGCGATATAAGTTGATTCAAATTCAAATAAATATAAAAAATAGGGTGGATAATTTAATACCGTTTTCCCTGTATTTATTTTCCTATATAATGATATTTATTTAGTTTTTGAACAATTTTTTTTTATTTTTCATTTGAGCTTATCAACGTCAATCCCAATTAATTTGGGATAAAGATAATATTAATTTTAAGATTATTTAAGTCAGCCGTACGGAGGGTCAAATGTAGGTAAAATGTAATTCATGTTAGCAAATTCTTACCCAATTCGGCCTAATGGGATTAATTAATTAGCTTGTTGATCTGCATATTTTATTTATTTGTATAATTGAATTTTAAAAATAATGATTGTAAATAATTTATTTTATTTAATTCTATTAAAAACTTAAATTATTTTAGATTAAAAGATTTAAACAAATTCAAAAAAATTAACGTTATAATAATTAATATTTATTACATATTTAATTTAGACTTGCAACCATCTTGTTTCCCTATAGGCCGATCCACGGTCGAACCAAATCAGGTCACACCAAATCAAGTTAAAAAAAAAAAAAAAAAAAAAAATTCTCCATCAATTTTACTGTCTAAACCCACTTATTTGATCTAGTAATTGAGATTGATTCATCTCCATGGAATGGTCAAATTTCATCAAATGCACTCGCAAAGGTCACCCGCAACGCAAGCTAGAGTTCATGGATTTGGGACTGTCTTATTCGGCTCATAAGTAAAATTTTTAATATCTCTCTAGTTCATATATACCATATCTATTTAAATTTTTCTCCCACGTTTATATAAAAGTATGTAAATTTCATTAATTTTTTTTTACTTTTTTTTTCTCTCATAGTGAAAACCACTTACTTTTTACGTGAGTGTGGAGGAAGAAAAAAAAAATTCACAGCGAATACAGAAATATTATTTCAATGTAAAACATAACACTACAAGATCATCAGAAATTTCAAGCACACACATGTGGTTCATTGCCATTACGTGCAACTAAAATATTTATTTATAAATTTACGTACCTAGACCACCCTCCCCCTCTTCTTTCTAGACAACTGCATAAATAACTTGCAAAGAAGAAATAAAATTCTAAATTTTTGTGAAGTGGAGCATTCGTTTTCTCGCCGGCTTTATTTTTTAAATAGCTCTAGTGGAGATTTCTATCTCCATCGATATAGCACTAACTAGCTAATGCGGAATTGCTCAAGGACCTCACCAGCTCTCTTCCCTGTGGTGATTCTGAATTCCCTTAACTCTTCATATTTGAATGGGCGATAGAGGCGTGCATGATTAGGGTCTACCAACTCTTTTGGGGCCTCAACATTACCATCCCTTGATGCTAACATAAATGCACCAAATGAATAACGAGTAGTTGTTTCCTTACATAGTACACGATGCTTCACATTGCGAAATCTTCCATTGCTCCATACCTATATATATAAAGCTATTATGATACGAACCAATTTTTGTGGGGTAAGAATTTATTATATATTTAACATACTTATGTTATATGTGACAACATATTTACTATCCACCAAACACACACACACACACACATATATATATATATGGAGCAAGATCTTTTTATACAAATAATAAATCTTACACTCAATCTTAATCGTTGATTTTTGATATCTGACGGTTATAATTTATTGAGAATTAATAACTAATTAATGAAAATAATCCAATTAATTACCATCGTTTAATGAACGAAAATCAACGATTAAGATTGAGTGTAAGATTTATTATTCTTATGCTGGTGTAATTAAATTGATCATGTCATATATATATATATATATATATATATATATATATATATATATATATATATATATAGGTAGGATCCTTTGACACCGGTGTCAAATTTAAAATTTGACACCTCATCTGAGAGCCATTAGATCAAAAAAGATCAATGGTGTCACATACTTACAAATCAGAGTCGTTGATCTTTTTTGATCTAATGACTCTCATATGAGGTATCAAATTTCAAATTTGACACTGGTGTCGAAGGATCCTACCTCATATATATATATATATATATATATATATATATATATATATATATATAGGGCAGGATATTCTTACACCGGTGTAAGAGTTAGAAGTCTTACATTCAATCTTGATCACTGATTCACTTGTATCCAATGGCTCATATTACTAAAAAAATTGAGCACTTAGATATAAGTGAGATTAACGGACAAGATTAAGAGTGTAACTTACACTGGTGTAAAATGATCTTGATCATATATATATATATATGTGTGTGTGTGTGTGTGTGTAAAGGATTTCTCCAGTCAATGGAGATAACTTATGTCTGGTGAACTCAAAACGACATTATTTTGGGGCGGAAATCAAGATGTTTTTGTAATTATAGTATATTGCAGGGTTATATTAGTCTTTAACATTATAATTTTTTAATTTTATAACCCAAAACGACGTCGTTTTGAGCTCGCTGGAGATAACTTTATCTCCGGTGACTAGAAAAATACTTCTTCCTATATATATATATATATATATAGATATAAAGATGCTTGCAATGCTTACTTGTGCAACATCTCCAATAATGCAAAGGAAAGACCCTGATTTGGGAGGGACTGCCACAAATGAGCCAGAGTCATCCATAATCTCAAGACCACCAACATGTTCATCATCTTGAAGCAGAGTCATGAATCCTGTATCCGAGTGTAGTTGTACACCTACTTCACCTACAGTTTCTAGGGTGAAGTTATATTTGATAATCCTAAAAATGAATGGCCAATCTTTAAAATCAGCACCCACCACGTCCATAGACTCGGCCATCTTTTGTGATATAATTGATACCAAGTCATGAATTGCCTGGCCATATGTCTGTATTATGTTTCTGCCAAGCAAATAAACCCAACCTAATCAACCATTTGTAAAAAATATAAATATAAAAGTCATTCACAAATTTGTTAATATTCTACAAAGTGATATATTCTTTATGCAAGGACGTGTTAAAAATATAAATATAAAAACTATTTGCAAATCCTTATTGACATTTTTTTTGAATATATTCGAAATCGAACAGAACACTTACTATCCATTAATGTTTACCCCTTTCACCACTAGACTAATCGTGGTTGCTTATTCTTATTGATATTCTAAAAAGTTATTTCGTGTGAGGTTGGTGCGAATTTATCAAACACAAAAATTTGATAAAACTTTTGCTTTCTTTTTCTTTTTCTTTTTCTTTTTTACATGACACATGAGTTGTTAACAAAATTAAACCATGAAACAATTGTAAAAAAGAGGATTTATAGAGAGAGTAAATGAACCTGTGGTGGGATGGGACATCCAACTGAGAGCAGAAATTGTGAACTGCTTGTGGTGTTGAATACATGTCATATATTCCCAAGCCCTCATATAGAGGACTTGTTACACTTGATGGCACGTAGCCACTGTCAGGGATGATGGCTTTGTTGCGTTTTTTGATCTCTTTAGGAAGGTCATGTAGATATTTAGCCACGGACTTCATATCCGCCATGAGTGTTATTGAAATAGGGTGATTGATGATTCTGAAACATCCACATTTCTCACATGCCTCTCTTAGTTTGTTGCACTCCCCTTGCGCACAAAGTTGCTGAAAATCCACCACCGGGACGCAATCCTCCCCCATCTATGGACTTGGTTGAGGGAGAAGTGTGCAAAAGATATCATTTATATAGAAACAATGATGGGTAGAGAACCAAATGGTGGTAGCTCAGTTGATAGCAAAGGAGGAGAGTAAGTGGAAAGGAAAGGGTCTTGGTTCGATCCCCATATGTCACATTTGGGAGGAGTTTAAATATATTCATCCCTGACATGCCCTGCACTCTGGATTAGTCTCATAGCCGGCTGAAAGAGTCAAAGCTTTTGAGGATACCGGGGGAGCCAACTCGCCTCAAAGAGATAATTAAGGTTGAGTTAACTACCAAAAAAAAAAAATGATTGGTAGAGACAAAAAAGTCACTTTTTTATTTAGGAGAAGTTACAAGTGGCAATTTTCAATAGGATGATAGGAGAAATTAGTGTTCACACCGATCTATTTTCAAATTTGTGTCATGCTCTTGTTGGCAATACCTAACAGAAATTTTTTTGTCATGTTATGTATCAATCAATCCGCAAATATACCACAAGTCCTCGTTAATTTTTTTTAAGTTATTTATGCCATGTCATGTCGTGTCCACATAATATTGGTGAAAATAATGTTTAGGTACACTGTCATGTCAACCCGAAAAACAACGCGTAGTATTTCTGTCGAAAGTTTTGACACGAACTTTATTCGTGTTATGTTTGTATCAAATGTATGTATTTGTGTCAGGTCGACACCTCACACAAATATGACCTACTTGACCTGAATTGTCACCCATAAAAAAAAAGTTAAAATGAGAAAAAGTTTCTATTGTCGAATATGACGTGGGAGGCTTTAGGCGTAAACTGACAGAAATACATTTCATCAGAATTAAAAGAAGAGGTTGAAGTGTTGAGTAATCCAAGTGAATGAAGTGCTACATTGGTTAAGAATGAGCTAAGTGAGTAATATATAAGTGGAAGCAGTTATGCACCTAATGCCTTAAGGTTTTGAGTTTGATTGTGGTGTTTAAACTCACCTAATATCATTGTTCACTTAACCTGTGGATGACGGACTCTTCCTGCGATGAACTCCTCCTGCCGGCCCAACAACGCGAACTGCTTGCCAATTAATTATTCGAGGAAATTCATATATTTTTTATTATTTCTCCTATACTGTACCGGGAATAAAGTTGAATTTTCTTATCTCAAAATATAATGTAATTAGTCTCTCATTGCATACAGATAGAAGTTGTAATATTTTTCACTTTTGTAAAAAAATCTCTACTCTTATCCGTAACCTTTTCCTTATCAATTGAGAGTTAAGGGTCGAGAGGTTTTAACGTTAAATAATGTTTTCAGTTTCCAAATTTTCTTAACTCGGTTTTTTATGTGTTATACTATCTCCATATACTCAACATAATGCCCCCCTTCATGTAAGTCATAATATTAATCTTACACCTTATTCATATCTTCTTCCTTTGATGAAAAAAAAAAGAATCGAAGAGTGGAGAGTAAAATTTTTTCTCTTCATTTTTTTAATAAAAGAAGGTGTGCGATAAAAATAATGTATAAGAATAGCATTATTTATTTATTTATTTGGAAAAATAAGAATAACATTATTGTTATATAAGTGGAAACGAGCAATTAATTACCAATAATTCATTTTATTTTATTTTGCTTTTCAAATCTTGTTAGATTGGTGAGGGACATAAATACTAGGGAACCACGAGTCACGCGGACACGATCTAAAATATTTATAAAATCAAATTTAATATCCTCGTTTTCCATTGATTGTACTTCACGACTTCAGGTATTGAGACGGTATCTTTAAGGTGCAGGCCAATATTGAATTCCTTGTGTAGGAGTACTTACGTATGTGATGACATATAGAAATTTAATTTGCTAAGGAAATAAGAACTGACATGTTAGTAATTGAGCTGACTTGTATAATTAATATATTCAGGTAAACATCTTTAGTGATACGAGGTGATGCACGTGCCTATTTTATTTAAGGGAATACAATTTTTCATGTCGCATTAGATTAATTATTTCATATAACACATAAAAAAAATGAGTAGGATTCACTTATTTTCAGTCTCTCTCACATTCTTGATGGATCTCATTCACTTTTTTGTATGTTGTATGAGATAATTTGTTTCGTAGAATATGAAAGTTGAAAAATATTACTTTCCTTTCACATAAGATATCTTCTCTTATGTTCTCTTACTTTCATTTTCGTACCCCACTTTTTTCTTTTTTCTTTTCTTTTTTCTTATAATGGTGGGACCCACCTATTTTCTCTCTATAACATAAGATAACTATCTTTTGTTAAATGAGACTAATAAAACCCATGAAAGTTATATCCCCTTTATTTAATAATTACAATCATGCTAAAAATAGCCATCTACTTGTGCAGATAATATAACTGTATTCTAATTTTTTTCTTAAAATTATTTTGTAGAATAGTTAATGAAATAGGTATTTTTGTATTTTTTTTAAGTTAAAACTCAAAATACAGAACAAAAACAACTAAGAACAAAATTATCAAACATATTTTTTTTTCTAAAAATTAAAAAGCAGATATATTTTTTTTTTTATTTCTAGAGCAAAATTCAAACAGAGACATCTTTGTTGTTCTATCCACATTTTATTTGTTGTATCCGAAGTCTGCATGATGAGCTTAATGTTGGGAACACGGTTCCCTCAATCTCGGCTAAGAAGCATTTGCGGAAGTCAAACGTCAAGCTAGGAGTTCAGCTCTTCAATCAGAGGGCAGCCTGTATCATCAGGTCGGCCAGAGCAGCGAAAAAACAAAACCAAAAAATAGAGAAGAACACAGACAAATTTTAAAGTGGGAAAACCTTCTCCAATGTGAAGAAGAAAAAACTCACGGGACACTATTTCAGAATCAAACTTTTACTATGTAAATAATGGGTTACAAAAGATCAAACTTCACCAACAAATGAATGGTACTCTTAAACCTCACCTACAATGGTGGTTGAAGAGACGAAAATTCGTGCCCATCTAAGTCCATTTTGATGGCAAAATACCATCTGTTCCCTCACCTGATGAGCAACTTTAGCACTAAAAGCACATTTTTATATCTTTATCACAAAAACACAGTGGGGAACGGAAGGTGACATAATCTTTTGAAAATATATAAAAAGGGGAACATATTTGGAACATTAAATACACCTGCTTCACTTAGTCAACCTCTCTTTCAGGAAACGGTGAAAAGAAGTTTCCAACTTAACACAAATGGGCAGCACTCAACCAAGGAGAAATATGTGCAGCAGGGAATAAACGATTCCATTGGCCGAAAAGGAAAGCAAGGCATGGGGTAAGTCAGAAGGAAAGACAAATCTCAACAAAAACTGTCTCATCCAGTCACGTGCGCCCCTCAAAAGCACTGTTCACACTGCCCCTTTCATGCAGTCAAGAAACCGACTCCAAAAGATTTGCAAGTTTGCCATTCACTCTTATACCTATAAAAAGGACGTCCCAGCACGAAGACATCCATCGAATTCTTGAGGGATTGAATTCCTTAAGAAGAGATCACTTAGTTTATTTTTGTAGTTTTTATTTGTATAGTTTAACTTTAGTTAAGTGACAACACTTCTTCTTATTTCTGTATCACCCACTTGAGACTCCTCATGAGCTACAACTATCTTCTCCACTTTTCATTTTATTGTAATCAATTTGTTTTCAATTAAATACAAGTGTTATTTCTCTCCTTTCCACTCGTTATCTCTGAACTGAATCTCGGGTCTATGGGACTTCAGTTTGGAATAATTATGTTTAAACTAGAAGCCATGGGCTAAACTATTTGTGGAATGGAAAAACTGCAAAGTTCTTAAAGAGTTATTTTTGAAACTATTGTATTACAGCTTTTGTGTTTCTCTGGTTAAGTGTTCTATATTCATTGTGTATCTTTGGAAATTGAACACATACTGAGAAATGATCTTTCATAAGGAAGGAATTTCAGACACCTTGACCAGAGGAGGAAGGCAGTCTTGTGGAAACAATACTGCTGGTTGCGTTAGGAATAAAGGACCACCTCGTTCACACAAAGGTCTTGTGCCTTGTACCTGTTGGAGTCAAGGGAGCCATAGGAATATGGAAACTTGTGAGCCATCTAGTCCATGAGCCGAGGAATCAGAGTTGGCAGGGAAGAGACTCGAACAAATACAAAAGTGTTAAGTCTTGAGTAGAGAAAATAATTATTTATGAATAGAGCAGCATATCTGTTCCTTCTGTTATTATTGTTTTTAAACCATCCACCATGTTGTCTCTTGACTATTGTTATTACTTTTTGTATTTTTCTTCTTTGTTTAATCTTGTATCTATAAAACTCTCATGAATATTGATGATCCTTCCCTAAACAAGAAGGATAACATACGTAACGAAGCGATGAACTCTTTGCTGTCTGATTGAACCTACTGGCCTGAGGAACGCTGTCAAGACAGTAGGGAATGTTTGACCAAACAGGTCAATTACTAACCTTTCTTTTCATTTTCATTCCTTATAAAACAGTATAAGACATTAATTAGAGTTCTATCCTCATGGGAACGATAATCTGGGTATAATACTCTTATTTATTACTTGATGCGTGCATTTGCGCACTTGGGTTGAACTAAGAGAACAACTGTGTTCTTTCTTAGTGAACTGAGGAACGTTTTCATCATAATACACTTTTCACCCAACAGCTTTTGAACCCAACAAGTTTTTGGCGCCGTTGCTGAGGATAGATACATTAAATTTTGTCCATATTATTGTTTTAAGTACATACATACTTTGTATGTTTCATTTTCATTTTTATTTTATTGTCACATATCTTGCTGATTCATATTATCTATTTTATGGTTTATGAGTGAAGAGTCTAAATCAGATTCTAACCACTCCACTGAAATACCTAAGTTTTTTCTTTGACCCTGAGCCAGAACGCACTTTACATAGAAGAAAAAGAAATCTCAGGGAAAATATTTTTGAAAACATGGTTGATCATAACAATAACAATGATGAAATCCCTCCTGAACAGAACTTTAGAACCCTGGCTGCTTCTTT